GTTTGTTGGTTCTCTCCTGTGCTTCGAAGGTTTTTTCTCTGGGTTCTCCAGTTTTCCTCCCTCCACAAAAATCAACAGCTAAATTCTAATTCGATCCTAGGAGATATTCACAATAGGGCTAACCTCGATATCCCCTTTCGCACTCAGTGATGTGAATAAATTAATGTTTTTTTCCTATGCTTTGCTAAAACCTCGGTCATGAATCAGAAAGGATCTTCGACTTGTACCATTGTGTTAAAAAAACATTTTTACCGAAGGTTTTCTAAGTATTAAAATAATATTAAGGTCCATTAGGCCCTGGCTAAACGAGGAAACATGTTTCCCTAAATGTTTCCTAAGGTGGCAAAACTGTCAGGAAACATCGGGAAACAATGTTTTCATGCGTCTTGGAAACATGAAATGTTTCTGCCGCACAGCAAAAACATTTTTTTGCGTCTTGGAAGCAAAATTTGTTGCACGCAGCAATGTTTCGCATGTGGCTAAACTGGGAAACATCGAGGAAACATGCGCGCGGTAAACATGTTTTTGCAAACATGCCTCCTCGTTTAGCCAGGGCCTTAGGACTTGTGCATGTATCATGACTCTGCAGTACTCTTACATTAAGAAAATATCTGAAATCAAGATAAAGTTTAATTTTTTTGTCTCTGATTTTTTTGATACTAAGTCTATCCCACTTCTCGTTTTCTTCCTTTACTTTATACTTTTCTCCGCCCTTTTTCTTTTATTCTCCTGCTTTTTCTTTTTCGTTTCATCCAATTCTCGAATCCCTTAATCTACCATTCTAATTTTTTCCTATCTTCTTTTATTCTCAACTTCATAAATAACCTTGGTACGATTCAAACAGCTTATAATCTTGATAATGTTCAAATGGGCGCAAATTAATTAGCTCATCACCATAACTTACAATAATTACGTTCATTATATTCTTTTTCAGTCATAATGTGGAAGTGGCTTGTTTGCTTGGTGATTCTTTTTCACTGTGCAGCTTCTGTTGAAGGTAAAACTAAATTACGAATTATATATTGACCAAGTGAAGTTTGGGTAATTCTTACTATAACTTTGGTAAAGACAATTGGTCCACATATTGAGACCTCTAAAAAGATGTATCTTTGTAGAGATAGCAAACTTGGTGCATTCTGGTTAAAAATTAATACACATATATTAAAAGTGACAGGTAACGTCTGTTACCAAGAAAGCCAGTATATTTAGATTTCTCCTTCATTTTTTATTCATTTTTTGTTTTATGCATTGATAGCTATCAAACCTTCCTTGTACCATGCTTTCTGTTAATAAAGTATATATCTATATATTTCAAAGGTGGAAGCTGCGTTCCTGGTCAGAAAAAGTTTGACGAATGCAAACGATTATGCGTCTGTTCTGAAGACGGCACCTTGACTCAATGTACTCGCAAGAGGAAGGAATTCACCAGTATGTCAGACGCAGAACGTAGTCTATATATCCAAACATTAAAGACTGTCTCAACTAATGAAATGTGAGTTTTTTTTTTGTGTCTATGTGAGTAATTCTCGAGTCTTTATTTTCTTGCAGGACGCCTCATGTGTACGAAGTTGGGCCGCATTCTTTGTTTCACTGTTGGTTTCGTGAATTTAATAGGCTCTCTGCAGTTATAAAATGGCCACTTGTCTGTACCGGAGAGCAAAACATTTTTTTATGTTTTAAATTGATGACTCTTTTTAGCTACTTGTAAAAAACGGAATGAAGCAATGTGTAACTAGTAGGCTACGAAATGCAGTTTTATTACGATCTCTCGGAACAGGTCGTAGAAAGTTTGTTTGCTCTACAGTTATTGTACCTATAACAATCAAAATAAACATTCATTTGCTCTCAGTACTAGCCTATTTGGGCCCATTTGGTGTGAAGATCAGTGAACCTAACCTTGAATGAATGTGTTTGTACAAGAAAGACAGCAATATCTCTTAAAAATATGTTCTATTACGTATTATATTTTCAAGATATAAGAAAGAGTACGACGACCTGATCACTCTCCACATAAGGCATTTCATGAGTGGAATTCATAACATGAAACACTTTCTCACTTGGCACCGTTGGTACCTTCTACAGTATGAAAACTTACTAAGAAAGGTAGATTGCACAGTCACAGTGTCTTATTGGGACTGGAGTATTACTTCTGGGGAACCCTGGGGAAGTGAAACCGACGATCTTTGGTACGCAGGCAGCACTGGTTTTGGAGGAGATGGTGATCCAACCAATAATTACTGTGTAAGCGATGGTCCTTTTGCTGAAGGCTCATGGCAACTTGTTCCTGCTGCAAACCCTGGTTGCCAGAGAAGAAGCTTTTATGGCAATCCTCCTGACAGTGTTGCTGTTGCTGAACTTCTAGACATCACTGCAGGAAATTTTACAGATTTTGAAGTGTCTTTGAGAATTAACTTTCATGATACTGTTCACTGTTTGATTGGTGGAACGATGTGCTCACTTGATTCATCTTGTGCTCCTGAATTCATCCTACATCATGCCTTTATTGACAAGGTACGTTCAGTGAAAGCAGACTAAGTTATTGTTTTGTTTGAACTTAATTGGAAGGTAGAAGTATATCCTAAACTAGACTGATGTAGTCTGGGAGTAATGCTTTTGGATTTTATAGACCGCTTTCCATTCTTCTGAGTGTCATTACTTGTAATACGTTTTGAGATACATAAGTTTACTCTGATAAGGTTGAATGGGAATAGCAAAACTTTACGCCAAGGTTAAGTCAGTTTATAAAACGTTCCTTGTTTAATAAATCAATAACCCTCGATCAAGGGAATGGAATGTGACCCATTTCCCATTTCCTGATTCGTGCAGAATTTTTATCAGCTGAATTACAAGTTTTCAATAGAATTCCTTCTGGCTGACAGCACATGGCTTTGGCCATCATTTGCAGCAGATAATGAGATTCGAAAAATTTTTATCAGCTGATTGACACCCAATTAAATTTACCGTTAAATTGACATTCCTCTACAGATCTGGGCAGACTGGCAGGAAAAGAGCCATGAACACAAGACAGTGTATTTCAGCTCGATCACCGATCCTCTCCCAGCGACCTATGGTGTGATGCCTTTAGAGGTAATCGACAACAATGCCTTACCAGGTGGTGTAAGAGTGGATTATCTTGATGTCAACGACACTGAAACTGAAACTTTTGTAAAAAGAATAAGAAGTAAGTGTTCTATATATATTTTTTTACTTGACAAAAAAGACTGCATGGCGACAATATTTTTTCCGTCGAGATCAGAGACAGTATTTTAAGCGTTTGGTCTTGTTTATCATTGCGCGGCATCATTTGTGGCTATGCCTGCAATTGTCCTATTTCGATATCTTGATTGAGTGATGGAGCAAATTTAAAAAAAACACAACAACAACAACAACAACAAACAAAGTAATTACACAAACACACACAAAGCAACAAAACGGAAGAACAAGACCAAGACCAAAATCAAACAAACAATCAGAAACTAGGGTACTAAACTCTAGGATACTAATATCGAACCTGAATGGTAAAAATTGTGTATTTTCTTTGTTCTCAGAACTCAAACCAGAGCGGCTACAGGAGATACCTCGTCCCGATTTTGACGCCATCAACGAGGAATCCCTGAAGCTTTTCCATGTGAGTGTGGACGAGGTTGAACGAGCAAAACGAAAAGAAAAGAGATTCAGACCAAAGATCAAGAAAGACAGAAATACGCTGACAACCCGCAAGGGAAAGAGGATTGGCCTCGAAGAACCCGACTTGGAAATAGCAGAAAGCGGGCAGGGAAAGTAGAGGATCATTTAAAAATAGATTGAAAAACAACTCCAAGTAAAATCGTTAAATAAAAAGTCATTAGAATAAAGAAATGCCCTTTAAATGTTTTGCATTCTGTAGGATATGTCACCTTCGCCCCCTCTTCCTTTCCAATTATTTGTACAGAAACTTTACCATGATTAAGGTATTATAATTTTTTTCCCTGTAATTCTTTGATTGCACGTTACGTCATCGCGGCCATGTTGGTGCCACTTGACAAAATATTTCTTATTAGCATCCATTGTTAACTGCACCCATAGTTAATTGATTAACTATGCTGCACCACAGTGTCCTTCATGCTTTTGTCTTTTGACTCTCTTGGGAATGCTTGCAACCCATCAATAAAGAATTGGAATGGACAGAAGATAATTAAATTATTGAAAGACGAGCGACACACAATGATTTTTTGCCCATCCGTGTACGGAGGTTACTATCTTTGAAACAAAAATAGAAAATATCTCAAATAGTACCAGCGTACTTATGTATGCTATCAATGAGCCACCATATTCATTTCTAAGGGCTTGGTTTGCACTATTAAGATACCGAGACCGGTGTTCAGTGCAGAGTCCCAAGAGGAAAACACAACTGATATTATCTTTCTTAAGCAGCATCTGATGAGGCATATCAAAAACTGCATCATGGCCGGCAATAGACCCTTTTTACTAATGCGGCGGACATCTTGAATTCTGGGATGGCAATGGCGGCAAACGTAGAAACATTTGAAGTATAGAGTGGCGGGGTTAAGTCTTGGCGTTGCAAATATTATTCCATCTAACAAAAAACTGCTTTTTAGATGTGCTTTTCATTGAAAAGCGTAAAGTTATATCAAGACATCCTGAGAGCTTTACAGTCTGCCAATAGTTGCCCCCTCGGCATCCCATAATATCTCAATTAAAACAATAGAATTCAAGATGGCTGCCGTATCGATAAAAAAGTCCATTGGAAAGCCCCATGATATTCCCGTATAAAGGAATTCAGAGCCATGGCTTGATTATTCCATTGCACCCCAAGTAAACAGAAATGTTGATGTCCATGTATACGAAATGATATCGCATTTGAAAAAAAAAAACAAGAAGTGGCCATGGGTAATCTGGTTTTGAGTCATGTTGAAACGACAGTACACGATGAATTTGATTGAAGATGAAATAACAAAATAGATAGTATCAAGAAATATGGTGCAATGCCTTCAACAGGTTTTGGGTCTTGCTGCTATGGAGAAATTTAAAATTCAACAGTGAACTCGATGGCAGAGATGCAAAAATGTCGGAAAAGAAATTATTGGTTTCCATCCTTTAGTTTTTCATTCGCCTTTTTCTGCATGAATTTTTGCATTTTTATGCACTCGTTGCAAAACAAACAGAATTAATGAAAGAAAGAAAAAAAGAAGAAAAAAAGCAAGCGCCATTGCAAAAAAAAAAAAAAAAAAAAAAAAAAAGCGCTATCTTCCTGATTTCTTCACTTCATTTTATTTTTCTGCCTCTAAGTATTAGCATTAGTAATGGATTCTCAAAATTTTCTTGAATGCTCGGCTAACATGAAAATACAAACGAAATGCTACAAATTCCATCGAGAAAAAGTGTGATTTATTTATTATTTATTTTCTTTCATGTTAGCCTAGCACCCAAGATAATTTTGAGAAGTGTCCATTTCTCACGAATCGAAAATCTTAACTTTCATATTATTGGCATTGTGGCCACCTTAATGCCATCATGCTATTGTGTCGTTTAGCAACAAGAGCCCAAATGGACACTTATGTGAATCTTAATGATTAAGAAGAAATTTTTTTCAATAATGAGCAATAATGGTAAAAAGTGCCAAAAACTAGACTTTCGTATGAGTTTTGATCCCAATTTTCGTTTTGGTTTTACGTTCAAAACCTTTTTTAAACAGTTAGAAACTGATGTACTATGATAAATGCCTGTTTGAAGCGGTATTTTCAATTTTACGAAGATGTTTTGTTGCATTTGTGTTAGAATGTTGCTTTGTCAGGCTTTTTTATAGAAAATATATGGGAAATAAGCAATAAAGACCTAAACCTCATTTTGGAATAAAATTTTTGCTTTTGGTTAACACTTTGATTCCACTTTCATCGGTCATCTCCACTTCCAAACAAGTTAAGCTTTCTGAATAACAAGATTTTAGCCTTGTACGACTGCCTTTCTTCAAGAAAATAGTTTTTGGCGCTCACTGCTTGAATACAAAAAGAATTCTCTCTTAACTGAAATGATAAAAAAGGAGAAAAGACATGAAAAGAAGAGAAAAATGATAAGGGGAAGTAAGTACGAAAGAAGGAACTGAGAAAAGTTGAATTCAAATATTGAATATTTCTAGATTTCTTAACGTTTTGACAAAACTAGATTTTCATGCAAACTTACTGTCATTTGGTCTTCACTGGCATGGAAACCATGAGGACACGACCTCGGAGCCGTCGTCAGTAACCTAGCAACCAGCATCAATGAAGATTCGTGACATCAAGCACGAAGATATTAATTTCCCTACATTTTCCACAATGAAGAACAATTTCTAGAAATTACTCTGAAATTGGGAAGACAAGGGAAAAAATAGTCCCAATATACGACAGCGCAATTAAAAAGGGAAATACATTTGAATTTGTATAAGTTATGTGCGAATTTTCCTACGAGCCTTTAGTATTTTTATGGTGAAAAACTCTGAGGTAAAAAAAAATTGTTTGAGCAGCGTTCTACAACGAATATGCGCGCGCAACACTAAGGTGCTTCCCACTGGGGAAGAAGCTTTACCTACCTAAATATCTTCAACGGAATATAAGATATTTTGGCAAATGTATAGAGTATGGATACATGCAAAAGGGTTTTTTATGTTAATTCTGTTAGATTTGTATGCCAATTGTAATTTCTTGAATAAAAAAGGCCTCTAATTTGTGTAAATTCTGCTGGATCGATTTGTATGCGTGCGTAATCTTGTAAATAACGTTGTGAAAGAAAGTCCCATTAACCCAAGTGCGTCAATGATACRTATCCCGGCACTTCGGTAGTCATGTCATAACTTTTCATAATTACTTTCTTAATTATTCAATCAATATTGCGTTAATAACTCACGTAATTTCTCTTTACATGTGAATCACTTTACGATAAATGAACAACTGTAAAGAAAGAAAGAAAGATTTGTTATTAAGYGGAAGACGCTCAAGGGCTCAACAACTAAGCAACATTTGCTGATCTGTGCACGGTGTTTGCGCAGAGAAGGTAAGAGAAAAACTATAAAATTTCTGAAAAATTTTTAAAGTATATTTTTTGATGAATTAGGTTCATTTGTTTTTTAAAGCTGTGTTAAGCAAAAGAATGGTAGTTTAATCTTCTTTTTTTAAAAATCTCTTTCACAAACTCTTGAATTATTTTCTCTCTAACACTTTTGTCATACCTCTCTAATTCTTTTTACAATCGCGCAACACTATCGGTAGACAAGAAATACGCCGCCCAACTTGGATTACCTTACATTGATTTCCCCTTTTGTAAAACAATATATATTTTTGGCTTTTTTGCGTGTTCTAAGCAGGGGAAGACTAGTTAGTGATTAGTCTTTGAGCGCGAATGGGCTATTGACTCATATGTCATGTGATGGTGAGAGGACTAATTGTTTTAGTCAAATCTTATTAGTCGGTCAAATATTTAGTTCAAACGAGTCTTGAATTAAAGTTAAATTCAATTTTTTGGCTTTCAAAGCCAGCACTTATAGACTACTAGTAGCACACCCAATCACAATGCAGCATTGATGATAGACCGCTAGTCTGATTTGACTAAGATATGATAGACTTTGTTGAAATGAAATTTGTTGAGATCTTGACCCCCTCTCGACCCATATCGAAGCGAGGGATTTACCTTTCAAACCAGTAAGGCGATATAAGATGCATCTGTAATGGAAAAAGTAAGGAGCTTTCTTGCTCGTGGTTTAGGGTATTAATGGGCTATTAAGGATTTAATCAAAAAACTTTGAAGATATAGAATTGAGAAAGCGATAGTGGGATGAAGAAAGAAAAGAAACAAAGAAATAAGCAGGAACAAAAAAAAAAAGGGAAAAAAAGGAAAAATGCGAAAAAGACAGAAAAAAATAAGATCAAGCTAAGGCTGCTATGCTAGAAAAGTCGCAAATGGAGTGATTGGCGATCGAAGAACTACTGGACTACTTAATTGACGGCTCTTAAAACTCCAGTGTATAGTTAGTATGAGGGCTTAGCGTCRAATCCAGGACATGCTTTGTTTTATTATTCTAATTTCTGCTTTTGTTTACTGCCCTCAGAAGTGAGGCTTAGCCCAAGCATAAACTGAAGTTTAAAAGAATATTCATTTGCTGTGCCAGCAGCGCAAACACAGCAAACATCTTCAAACCTCACTCTCTTTTTTTTCAAATTTAATCCCCCCAACTAAGCTATTAGGTTAGTAAGCCTATGAGGAAATAAGCTTCAACAGACGAGAAGACTTGGTTTCCGTGGTGCGTCCAAACGATTATGTCGGGAAAAATCTATATGATTTAAATGATGTCATACTTAATGACTTATTAAATGCTACAAATGGTCTAAATTTCATGACTATCTTTTGGCAATGGTAATTAGCGTGGTGATTATCGTTAATTTGACTTTAAAGAACTGCGAATTTAAAAAAACCTGTTCAATATTAGAAATCAGAAAACAAATTGGTTAGTAATAACTAAAGAGGCTAGACCTTGGCAACCATTTCATAAACAAGAGTCCCTAACAGCTGAGCGGTAGTAAATTTGGTTTCAACCAATCAAAGCACGTTAAATTGTTTATCAGCCGGTTTCATTCCCAGGTTACTGTAACCAAACGTTTGAGTATTTTTCAAATTTATTTTGACTAAAATATAATATACGTCTCTACAAATATCTGAAATACGGAAAGGAAGAATAAAAACATTTTCACTTTAACGCAACGTTTGCTTCGTTGTTTCAGGCTTCAAAATTGCTTAGGGTAGGTCGTATTGTCCATTCATGTTTTGCGCGCCGCGTTCACCGCTCGGTTGGAAGGTCTCTTGATCACAGGATTAAGCAGGGGGTAGGGGTGGGGGATTTCAAGATAAAGCATACTAGATGAAAAACTATATGCTAAAAGGGCTTCATAAGACTAGGGAATTTAGCAGCACCTTGTAAAGAATAGAAAAGCCATCCCGTTACCCATCCTACCCTTTCCAGCGGTTCTGGAGGTCGCCGCACACATGGTTGCACATACTCTATATGGAGATCATCGGAGATCATCAGATCATCTTTCTGAGATCATCGGAAATTAAGGTTTTAGGAAACTCTAATAGGTTTTCCTTTTTCTTCTTTTTATTAGCATTTCAATCAAAATGTCAAGGTCTTTCATCTCTTTTCTGGTCCTTTTCTCTATTCTTTGTGTTGCTGTTGGAACTACATACGGCGGATATGGTGGTAAGTTATGAAACAACATATATTCAAGGAATATTTGCTGCTACTTAAAATAAGACAAGAGTGAGTAAGAAAGGAGGAAAGAAAGAAAGAAAGAAAGAAA